CCCTTTAAAACATTTGTAAAAAGCATGTTAAGTGCTGACACTTTAGGAAAAGGAAAAGAATAGGAAAATCAAACATGGCAGATTTATCTTCTTGTTTTCCTTTCTGTCCTTAGCTATTGTAATGAAGTGTCATGTGTTAGCACTGTGAAGGGTCTCTCTTCTCAAGCAGATATAGTAAAGAGTAGGAGAGAAGACATAAAAATGAATGGATATAGACTGAGAAACTGTAATGTATTTGCTAGAGGCATTGTCAGTAGTCGAGTCAATAATAAATTAGGACAGTTCTAACAGCACAAAATATTTTTCTTTGGATTCCAGGTAAATCAGTGAAATATGATGTTTTTAAAGATTTATTTATTCATTTGAAAGGCAGAGTATAAAAAGGCAGAGTATAAAAAGGTTTTGGGGCTGGGGTGTCTTCTATCTGCAAGTTCACTCTCCAAATGGTCACAATGGCCGGAGCTGCGCCTATCCAAAGCCAGGAATCAAGAGCTTCTTCCAAGTGTCCCACATGGGTACAGGGACCCAAGGACTTGGGCTATCTTCTACTGCTTTCCCAGGCCACCTCAGAGAGCTGGATCCGAAGTGCAGCAGACGACTAGAACAGGTGCCCATATGGGATGCCAGCACTGCAGGCAGCTATGTGACAGTACTAGCCCCAAAATAAGTCATTAAAAGCATTAAAATGTGCATTTTCCAACTTCGAACCCATAACATACAATAAAGAAATGTAAAAGAAGGCAGAGACAAAAAGACAAAACAGTTAAAAATTAACACAAAATAGGGGGATGGATGTTATCATCTCGAGAGCATTATTGACAAATTCTGTGAGGTCTGAATCCCAAAGTGAAGATTACAGAATTCCATTGATTTAATGTGAATAAGGTTGTTGAAATGGCATCATCAAGTGTAACCATGATGGTGTGTGGTTTCCATCATGTGTTGCATATCCATGAGCTCTCATTTGCCCTCATTCAGATAAGTCATATTAAATCAAATTTGATCCAGCAGTCATCCTTCAGCCAATCTAGGTCTGTGGCTGCTCTCATTCTGTGATTTCCAAAGGTTGTGTTTTGTACTTACCTTAGTGAGCAGATAAGATTGTTTACATTCTCAGAATGGTTGTTCCCTATTCGCTTCTTTAAACCTCTGCAGTATGATCATGGTCATACCACACTGAAGTTTCTGCTTCTTAGTGTTTCTGGCCACATGAGGATCTGTCATCAGCTCAAACATACTTGTCTAATCTGTAATATTTGAAGTTAGCAATATGGTCTCCAACTTGTTATTCCTGTAACTATGTAACAGTAGTGACTCACAAGATCTCTGCTTAGTATTCCTCCATAACACAGATTTTTCATTTAACAGATGCACTCTGCATGCTGTAGTTATCTAACCATGGCTGCCAACTACCTATATTATTTTGTGAATGATTAGTGGTTTTAAGTGAGTTAATATCATTTTTTTTCTTGTACCACCACAAACTTACTTTTGAATTCGACTTTTTACCAAGATGTCTAAAAAATGTTTACATTCCGCTGTGTGTTTTTTAACTTAGACATCCCTGACATAGCTGGTTGTGTTTCTTACAAGTGTCTTTCTAAGAATTATTTCCTGTTACTGATCTCAAACTTCTGGCCATTCTATGCAGAGGATGAAGATACAGTCCTAATGACATAAATTCTTCACCATATATTTTGGAATTCCTGTATCACCTGCCAAAAACTGCCTTAACTGTTACAACTCAGTGAAGCGAAAGATAATGCGACTTACAATGTTTATCTGATGCCACACAAGGATCAGAGTCACAAAAAATCAAAGACTATACACTTTGCTACAAAGAGACATAGGAGAAGCACAGGAAGTGGTTCAAGATCTGCAAGTTGTACCTGCAGTTACTCCCAGCCAAAATTTGAAGCACTGTAGCCCACATTCATACACAGTGATACTGAGAAGTGTAAACGCTCACTGAACTTGCAAAATGGAGCTGTTTTGGCCACAGTGTATTTATGCCTCATAATTACATAGCTCTGTAGGTTATGCGACATCCACTAAAGAGCTATGCTCCATAAATGCATGAATCCAAGATTAACAGACAACTAGTCAATACCTTTCCCTTTCCATAGGGTGAAACCATGGGTAACTACTACAGAGCCTTTAAGGGATGGCGAAATATGATGATCAGTAATGTATCACAATTAGAATTTCAAAAACTTTGAAAACTGGTACAATTAATTTTTTATGGTCTTCTTTTCTAGTCTTCTTTTCTTTTTTTTAAATTTATTTATATAATGAGAACAGATTTCATGTGTTTCATATATACAATTTTAAGCACATAATTATATTTCCCATGCTCCTTCCCTCCTTCCCATCTCCTTTTCTTTTTTTGTTTCCTTTTAATTTTTGGGATAGCGTACTTTCAATTTACTATATAATCACAGGCTTAAATCTCCACTAAATAATTCACAGGAGAAAGTAGAAAAACCACTGTTCCACAGGAGTAGAGATAAGAGCTATAAAGATAATCAATTCTCAAAATATTAATGTTGTTTATATACATTATATTGTGTACTATAAATGTATTATTTTGAGCTTAATATTTTTCTAGTCTGGAAATATAGTTTTTAAAACTTATATGATGATATAATTACATGTCATAATACAATATAGTATGTAAAAGACAAGCTGAATCTCCAATAAGATGTTGAAATATTTGTAAAGAGCATTTAATAGCACATTTTGTGACTTTTATTAAAGATATAAATCAAATGGCATAGTTTTTTAAAGATTTGTTCATTTTTCTTTGAAATGCAGAGTTACACAGAGAAAAAGAGACAGAGAAGATTTTCCATCCACTGGTTCCCTCCCCAAATGGATGCAAAGGCCAAAGCTGGGCCTGTCGAAGCCAGAGTCAGTAGCCTCTACAGGACCTGCCATTTGGGTGCTGGGACCTGAGCATTTCAGCCATCCTCTGCTTCTTTCCCAGACATATTAGCAGACAGCTGGATCAGAAATGGAGCAGGGGCCAGCACTGTGGCGTAATGGGTAAAGCCACCATCTGCATAACTGGCATCCCAAATGGGCCAGACAGAAGCCAGGAGCCAGGAGCTTCATCTGAGTCTCCCATGTAGGTGCAGGGGCCTGAGAACCTGGGCCATCCTCCACTGCTTTCCAAGCCACATTAGCAAGGTGTGGGTTAAACATAGTTGAGCAGGGCCTTGATCCAGTTCCCATGTGGGATGCCAGTGCCACAGATGGCGGCTTAACTCGCAAGCCACAATGCTGACCCTGTTTTCATTTTCATTCATTTTAAGAAATATTCTTATTTCCTATTTAATTCATTCACTTATCCATAAGTCATTGATGAGCATGCTATTGCATTTTCATGTATTTGTACATTTTATATTATTCTTGTTGTTGATTCTACTTATTTTTTTAATGTTCTGAGGAGATACATGATATTATTTGATTTTTTTTAATTAGTAAGATTTGACTTGTGGCTTAACATATAGCTTATCCTGGAAAATGTTATGTGTGCTGATGAGAATAATATGTATTTAACTGATAAGAAGTTCTGAAAATTTGTAGTAGGCCCATTTGCTCTACAGAATGATGCAAATGTGTTCTCTGTTAGTTTTCTTTGTCAGTGATCTACCCATTGATAAGAGTTGGGTGTTAAAGTTTCAAATTATTTTTGCAATACAGTTGATTTCTCCCTTTATTTGTTTTATAAATCTGGGTGGCTGTTGTGTACACATATATTTATGATTGCTATAATTTTTCACTTAATTGATGCTCTAATAAACATGTGTAACACCCTTCTTTGTCTGTTTTTACAGCTTTTGATTCAAATTCTGTTGCTATTTGCATGGCATATATTTTTCCAAACCTCCTCTTTCACTCTATATGTATCTTTACCCACTAAGTGACTTATTTCAAGTGTGTGCTTGGTTCTGGGATTTTATCCCTTTGGCCTACAAACTTCTTTTGACTGGGAATGTAAACCACTCACAACTGAGTTTAATATTGATAGGTAAGAACCAATTCTTAACATACTGTTATTTTTTTTTTTTTACAAAACTCTAAATTTATTCAAAGTGTTAAAAGATTTCACTCTCCCCTCCAAAATATTTTATAATTTAAAAAAATCAAAACTCTTTTCTCAGCCACTGTACAAGTTGCTGCTCATTCTTCTTGGGGACCAGCCTCTGCCCCTCTCCGACCCTCTCTGCCTCCCTCCCTGCTCAGTATTATTGCTGTTTGTTCATAAAATCCTCCATACCCGCTACCCTCTTCCCCCGTCCCCTGCCCGCCTTCTCTTCTGGGATTCGGTCCTTGGCTGCAGATGAGGCCCAGTGGATGGGTGGGATACCCAGGCAGTGCCTGAGGGGCCAGGGTAGGCTTTGTGCTTCTGGGAGATCCCCTAGTCGGCTTGTTTCTTGGTCAAGTGGAGAACTGTCATCCTTTCTGTCCCATGGACACCTGTTTAGAGCCAAGTATTTGGCTTGGGGCTGCCCACAGCTGTGCAGCCTGTCCCTTCTCTGGATTCCCTGAGGCACGGGCCATGACAGCTGGGTCGGGTAACTGAACCATTTGTCTGCCTGTGGACTACTGGGCTTAGAAAGAGCGGCACATGACTGGAGGATGGCTCCAAACGCCCAGGGGAGGGAGTTTTGGTTTTTTGTTAGGCAAAGCCAGAGACAGCCAGGACCATGGGAGGTAGGGAAGTAGGGGCAAAGTGTGACCACACAGCTCTGGGGTGAGCAATGTTCCTTCTGTCCAGAACTCCACCATCCATCCTCCCCTTCATCCTGCAGGTCCCAGGATGATTCCAGAAAGGAGGAAGAAAAAGAGCAAAAGAATTCTGTTCTGCTGATGATGGGAAAAAGGCAGGAGATAACAGAGTGCTCAGGGTTGGGGAGAGGCCTGCTGGAATCTGTGGCTGTCACTGCTTCCCTGTTGCATGAGGGTGGGCGAGGGGCCAGGCCAGGCCCACAGAGGCTTCATTAGCTCTGCTCCTTGTCCTTGACTAACAAGACTGTGTGCTGGCCCCCGCTGGACACAAACAAGACCACACGGTTCTCCAGTTGCTTTCCCGTCATCTCCACGGGGCTCCAGGCGTCCTCATCTTGCCCTGTGCCCAGCTGGTAGCTGGTGCCCATGCCCCAGGCAAAGGCACGGCCGTCCTTGGTCACGGCATACCCCACAGAGGCCCCACACGCCACGGAGGTGACAGCAGGCAGCTTTGAGATGAGGGTGGGTATGCTCTTCTCTTCGGCACCCTCCCCAAGGCCCAGCCGCCCGTACTCAGCCCGGCCCAGGCTGTATGCTTTTCCCTCTGAATCCATGCAGACTGTATGGTGCTGGCCACCAGAGAAGCCCACCCAGGACTTGGTGGAGTTCTTGAACGATGTCAGGTTCTGGATTATGAAGCAGGACTCCGTGCCTGGGGTTCCAAGCTGATGGTAGTTGGAGAGGCTGAAGCCTGGGGTATGAAGCAGGACTCTGTGCCTGGGGTTCCAAGCTGATGGTAGTTGGAGAGGCCGAAGCCATACACATGGCCCTCTCCAGAGATGGCAAAAGTGAAATAGGCACCACAGAAGGCATCCTGGAATCTCACGTGGCCCCGGCTTCCCCTGGATTTCAGCAGCACACACCTGGGGACCAGGAGTCGTTCCAGGCCCTGCCGGCTACCACGGTTGGCAAATAACTCAGGTACACGACCCAGCTGGCCTTGCTCCCCGCAGCCCAAGATATAGAGTTCGCCGTCAGTTGTCAGCATCACCAAGTGGTCATTTGCTGAGGCCACCTTCACCACGGGCACGTCCAGCTGCACCTGCACGGGCACCAAGCTCTTCTTCATGGGCTCCAGCAGCCCAATCATACCGTTGTTGTCCCGGAAAGAGCCCCACAGGAAGACACGGCCGTCCTCGGTGAGGGCTGCTGTGTGACTGTCTCCTGCTGACACCTGTACCACCTTCTCTTGCAGTTCCACTTTCCCGGGGACCATCTCTGACCCCTCCGCTGACGTGTCCCTTCCCAGGGCACCCTCGTCATTGCAGCCGAAGGAGTAGACCTGGCCACTCTTGCTTAGACACACAGTATGCATGCCACCGGCCTCGGCCTGCACAACTCCCTCTGGAATGGGCACCAGGGCTGGCTTCTTTCTTTCCATCACATTCTCACCCAGCCCCAGCTGGCCCACGTCGCCTTGGCCCAGTGTCAGCACCAAACCTGGTTCTGTGCTGTGGGACCTGTGTGAGACCTTCACCTTCTTGCTTTTGGGGATGGCATCTTCTGGGGGCGACCTCCTTTTAGCTATGCGCTTGGGCGGCATCTTCCTGTCCTCGTTGCGGGTCGACCACAAGGAATCATACTGTTATTTTCTAATCACTGTATATATACTCATTTTGTTTATACATATATTATTATTTATCTGTATTTTGACAACTTTCTTACATGCTAAGCTTGGATGCTGTTCTCTCTGTGTTATGCATTGTCTCCATTAGTAAATTTTTATTCTTGTCCTTTAATTATAGTTGTAATGATCCCTTTATATTTACTCCTAATGAAGGATTACCTTCAGGATTTCTTGTAGGGCTGGTTGTGTGGTGATGGGTTCTTTCAATTTTGATTGCATGGAAAGTACTTTATTTCTCCTCCCCTTATAAAGGATAGATTCACTGTGCACAGTACTATGAGTTTGATGTTTTATTTGGTCAAGACCTTAAATACAGGTGCCAGCACTATGGCATAGTAAGTAAAGCCACTGCCTGCAGTGCCAACATCCCATGTGGGTGCTGGTTCAAGACCTGGCAGCTCCACTTCTGATCCAGCTCTCTGCTATGACCTGGGAAAGCATTAGAAGATGGCTCATGTCTTTGGGCCCCTGCACCTGTGTGGGAAACCTGGAAGAAGCTCCTGGCTTCAGATCAGCACAGTCCCTGCTGTTGCAGCCAACTGGGGAGTGAACCACAAATGGAAGACCTCTCTCTCTCTCTCTCTCTCTCTGTGCCTCTCCTCTCTCTGTATAACTCTGACTTTCAAATAAATGAATTAAATCTTAAAAATAAAAGATCTTAAATACATCACCTCTTTCTCTACAGTATTGTAAATTTTCTATGGAGAAGTCTACTGTCAGCCTAATTATTTTTTTTCCTTTTTATAATGATTTTTTTCTCACTTCCTTTGAGATTTCTTCCTTGTCCTTTTGTTTTGACAACTTGACTATGATATGCTTCCCATTTCTAGATAATCATATCTCTTAAGACTTGAGAAGGAGAAGTTTTCAGCTAATATTTCATTAAATATTTTGTTTAGGGTGTTTTTCCTCCTCATTTTTTCAGATATACCTTTAATACAAATATTTGTTCATTAAAGAGTATCCAAAAATCTAGTAATTTTTTCTCTTTATATTTGTCCTAGTAGTTTATTTCAAAAGTTTTTTTTTCCCTCAAAATCAGAAATCCCTCTACTTGTCTTACTCTGTTTTTGAAGACCTGACTTGGGTTTTTATCTCATTGATTCAATATTTTCAACTTTAAAATTTCTCACTGGTTCTTCTTGATGACTTTTCTCTCATCGTTGTGTTTCAGGTTCACATTATGCATTTTGTTGCTCATTTATTTGAATCTTCTATCTATATCATCTTGTATCTCACTGAGTTTCCCAAGAATCATTATTTCAAATTATTTTTCTGAGAATTCACAGAGTTTCTTAAAATGAGAGTTTGTTTCTGAATAACTACTGTTCTCCTTCAATATGCTATCCTTGCTTGCTACTTTACATTTGCTTTTCTCTATTTAATCTTTGAGTATATGTAGTGACAGTTTCATGGAGGTAGAAGTCTTACTTTGAAATCAATGAGTGAGCTTGCACTTCCAAATCTGTGTTTCTTCAGATCCCAGGGAGTTGAGTGTCAGTCACACTGGGGTTTATATCTGTACCACGGTACTGGTGCTGTGAGCCACTGAGGGAATTGTCCCCTTATTTCACCAGGAAAACCTGAGTGATGCTTGGGCTTGTGGCACCAAGATCTGTGGTCCTAGAAATATGTGATGTTGATGTAACCTTCTGCAGTTCCTACGGAGTGGGTTTGGGTAATTATTGAGATTATATAGCTACAAAAGTCCCAGTCCTAGATCTATGCAGTAAAAATTATCTTGTCTAGGTCTCACAGCCAAAACACTTAAGGAGTTTGAATTGCAGCTCTGAACCTGCATCAATACAATGAAGGTGGAGACGTAACCAGGTACAAAGAACAATCTCTGTGTTCCTAGGACTCATAGAGCTCTGAGTAGTAGTCACAGAGCTGCAGTATAAAGTGGACACCTTTCTCAGTACCCACGTTCCACTCACAGGTTTTGCTGGGAATTGTCCACTGCCAGGTGATGGTCTGGAGAAGCAGCATGAAGATATAGTCCTGCCCACATCCCGTGGCATGAACCCAGTGGTTTCTGTGGACGATAGCCCCAGAGTCCCAGGCCCAGAGAAATAGATCTCTGAGCATAATTTAATAGTATCCCACATGCTGATTACAGATTACTCTGGATACTCTGCACTAACATGTGCAGGTCTGGATCAGTGGGGTGAAAACAGTGTGTTCCTCAGTCACTGAAATTAAGCGCAGGTGTCTCTGGACTTGTAGACCATACATTCCCAGACTCAAATCTCTAAGAGGCAGTGGAGTCTTCAGCCAGGTCCTTTGGAGTAAACTTGGGTGACTCTGCAGAATAAAACCTCAACTGTCATAGTCTCAGAGCTGCAGGACTCAGGAAGTTTCCTTACCCAGTTCCCACACTGTGATTGCCGGCTATTCTGGAGATTTTTCTCAAACGTATTCAGATCTGAAGCACAGGTATACAGGTCAGGCCTTACACAGGATCCATGAGGAAGTGCAAATATCCCTGGCACTTAGAAAATCAATAGTCAGTCCAGAGCTTGAGGATGCAGTGGGATACTCACTCAGGTCTCAATGAGTGACTGCAAGTTACAGACTGAAGCTGGCACTATTGATTGGCAGTAGCCAACCTGAAGCACTGGAATAGAGATGAGGCCCTCAGGTTCCACTTGTAAGGATCAGTTACTTCAGAGATTACAGCAGTAACTGCCACAGTCCCAGAGCTCCAGAACAAAGAAGGGATTGCCTTCTATTGTTTGAACTTAGAATTTAACTCCATTTGTTTCTTTCTTTTCTTTTTAAAGACATTATATAATCCATAAGATATTGTAATTGTTATTTTGTAAATCATTTTCATTTCTAGCAATGTGTTTTAATGTTTTCTTATAGAATCATGTAGTCTGATGTATTAGATCTTTTAATGTTTAACCACTCGGGGCCTTCTGAGGTTTTTGTAAATGGATATGTGTAAAATGACAGGATTTTGAAGACAGCATAAAAATAATATTTGAAGTATAACTGAGCTTACATAAAATCTAGTATTGGTAGCTCTATTATTTCATTTTATTTGTGTACTTTTAATAGTGTTTATTTATATAAGCTGAACAAATTCCATGTATTTCATATACACAAATTTAGGAGTATAGTTACACTTCTCAAACTACCATCCCTCCTATGCTCCCACCCTCCATCATTCTTCCTTTCTTACTCTTAATTTTTACACTGACATACATTTAATTTATTTTTTAAAAATTTTTTTGACAGGCAAAATAGACAGTGAGAGAGAGAGAGACAGAGAGAAAGGTCTTCCTTTGCCGTTGGTTCACCCTCCAATGGCCACCACAGCCAGCGCACTGCGGCCGGCGCACCAAGTTGATCCGATGGCAGGAGCCAGGTACTTATCCTGGTCCCCCATGGGGTGTAGGGCCCAAGCACTTGGGCCATCCTCCACTGCACTCCCTGGCCACAGCAGAGAGCTGGCCTGGAAGAGGGGCAACCAGGCCAGAATCCGGTGCCCTGACCGGGACTAGAACCTGGTGTGCTGGTGCCGCAAGGCGGAGGATTAGCCTAGTGAGCCGCGGCGCCGGTTACATTTAGTTTATTTTATAATAGGTTTATCCTTCCTTTAAGAATTAGATGCCAGTAAGAAGAAAAACACACACAAAACAAACACATTTTCAACAGTAGAAATAAGTGCTGTAAACAAAAATCAGTTCTAAAAATGTCAAATTTTCTCATACACATTATACTTTTTTGTCTAATTTAGTTATCACAGATCAGACAGAACATAATATTTGTCTTTTTTAGACTGGCTTATTTAACTAAACATAATGGTTTCCAGATGCATCTGTTTTGTTGCAAAAGACAGGATTTCATTACTTTTTATAGCTGTGTAGTAATCTATAGTGTATATGTACCATATTATCATTATTCAGTCATCAGTTGATGGGCATCTGGGTGGATTTCAGATCTTAGCTATTGTGAACTGAGCTGCAATAAACATGAGGGTACATATAACTCTTTCACATGATGATTTCATTTCCTTTGGGTAAATTCCCAGGAGCAGGATGACTGGGTCATGTGGTAGATCTATTTTCATCTTTCTGAGGTATCAGCACACTGTCTTCGTCAATGGCTGTACCAATAGTCAACTAGGGTGCATTTTTCCCCATATCATTGGCAGCATTTAATGTTATTTTTTTTTTTTTTTTTTTTTTTTTTTTTTTTTGGTTTCTGTATGAGAGGCATTTTAGATGGGGTGAGGTGAAACCTCATTATGGTTTTTATTTGCATTTCCCTGATGTCTAGTGATCCTATCATTTCATGTGTCTGCCAGCCATTTGAATTTCATCTTTGTAAAAATGCGTGTTTGGGGCTAACACTGTGGCGCAGTAGGCTAAGCATCTACCTGCAGCACCAGAATCCCATATGGACACCAGTTCATGTCCCAGCTGTGTCTCTTCTGATCCAGCTCTCTGATAATGCCCTGGGAAAGCAGTGGAAGATGGTCTGAGGACTTGGGCCCCTATACCCACATGCAAGACCAGTAAGAAGCTCCTGGCTGGGTTTGGATTGGCTCTGTTCTGGCTGTTGCAGCCATTTGTGGAGTAAAACAATGGAGGGAAGACCTTTCTCTCTGACTCTCCTTCTCTCTCTGTAAATTTATATCTCAAATAAATAAATAAAATCTTATAAAATTCTCTGTTCAAATTCTTCTGCCATTTCTTAAAGGTATGGTTTAGCTTGTTGTTTTTGAGTTTCTAGAGCTCTTTTTATATCTTGGATATTAATCTCTTCTCAACTGCATACTTTGTAAATATAGTGTGCTATTCTGTCCATGGCCGCTTTCTTAGTATTTCCTTTGCAGTACAGAAGCTTCTTAGCGTTATGTAATTTCATTTGTCTCATTTTGGTTTCCTGGTCTCTGCTCTTGGGGTCCATATCAAGATGTCTTTGCCTATGCCTAT